ATTTAGCCAAAAAAAACAGCTAAAAAGTAGCTGAAATCACAGAAAAATCTGCAACTACCAGAAAAAAGCTGAAAGGGCCATAAGCTGAAATTAGCATAAAGAAGTTAATTAGGCTGAAAGTAGCAGAAATTACCATGAAAAAATTGAATTTATCAGAAATCAGCTGAAATTAGCTAAAAAGCTATCTGGAACAAGCTTAAATTAACAGAAGAAAGCAGAAAGAACGTTTGCCCATTTAGGCTGAAAGAAGCAGAAATAAGCACAAGAAATGATTCTCTATCTGTTTTTATGCTAATCTTAGCGTTTTCAGCTAATTCCACATCTTTTGCGCTCATTTCAACTTTTTTCAGCCTAATTCAGCAAAAACATTCTCTTTCCTCTTCTTTCTGGTAATTTAAGATTATTTATGCTTTTCTAGCTACTTTTCAGCATTGTTTTTTTTGTTGCTAATTTCAGCTTTTTTTGCTATCATCCTGCATTTTCACAGGAAATGTAGTTTCTCTAGTTTATAATGAAAGGAGAGGAAACCTTAAACAAAACATTGCAGAAGACAAACTTACCCTCTGAACCCCCCCTCCACCCCCACCACACTACCTAATCAGCTCAGCACAGGTGGGACGAGCTGGTTTGTCTCACGCAACAAGTGCTCGGCCTCTCTGGGTCACGTCAGCGGACTGTAAACCGGGGAGGAATCACTCCCCCGCCCCCTGCCCTCATTCAGGCGCCCATGAACTGGAACATGTGGTTGAAGCACCACCAGCCAGTCCAGGCTCCAATCAAAACAGCTCCTTTTTTTTAATAGTTAAATGTGATCCACACGGTGTCAGAGTCCAGGACCCAATGTGTTAGCCTGCCAAGGGGAGGACAGCATCTACAAAGGCTGAGTAACAAAAACACAATGGGGGAGGGGGTGGGGGAGGATGTTAGTTACCCATATCTTTGCCAGTTGAATGGAAGTAATTTCAGGTAACTGGGCCGTTTCTGATCCAACACGGCGCTGATCGGAAACGTGGTTAATTTTCTACACAAGCGCCACGGTGTGAGGAAATAACTTTTAGTTGCTCAAAGTGAGTGAGCTTCACTCGAGCTTGTGCTGGTTAATACTCGCACACACACATTTCACAGTTTGAGCACGCCGTTTGTAAATTGTATACTATTAGTAACCTTGAAGATTAAGCTGTGGGAAGCAAGACAAGCGTTTAAATTTCAACACATCACTGAAGATTAAACAGGAGGAGCTTTCTGGCTTCGGCCACAGAAAGCAACGTGCACTCCACTCCGGCTCATATTTCACATGCTCAGGCCTTGTTAACAGCAACTGCTGGACACAATCTGAGCTTTTAAATTAAATGGTCAGCTGTTCTGTAACGCTTTAAAGGGATGCTTCAGCTCTTTTAAAGCAAGATTCTGTTGAACAGTTATAAAAAAAAAAGAACATCAAACCTGCTTTAGACGTGAGCAACCTCAGTTTGGGAGTTTAATTTTGACCGGATTGACGAGCTAACAGCTAGGACCAGAGAAAAGTGCTTGTGCCAGAAATCATCTCTGGTCTCAAAACTGCTTCACGAGAATACTGGTTTACAAACACCTACTGCATGTTGGCATCAGTTTAGTGTGAAATGGTTATTCTGGCAGGAGTATTGAGGTTTTCCTGGAAGGGCGCCCCAAATCAGCTAAAAGAATACAGCAGCTGATATTTAGGCCAAATAATGACAGAACTCCCTAAATAACTGAATAATGCAAAACTTACAGTGATATAAATATTTTAAACTATAGTAGCCCCTCGTTTATCGCAGGGGGATCTGCACCCTGAAGCCACGCAATAAGTGAAAATCAAAGTAAGAATAGTAGTACAAGTAGTAAGTAGTAGTTTATTTTATATACATATATATATATATATTAGGGATGCCCGATATTATCAGAATGGTATCATTATCGGTCGATATTAGCGATAAAGTTAAACATCGGACATCGGCCGTTGCATCAAAATAACTCACCGATATAAAAGGCTTCTGTTTTAAGTTAATTTTTAATTTAAGAAACTGTCAAGTATATCTATTAATGCACTACTACTTATGCACTTTTCACTTGTCGCTTGTGAACAGGCTGAGTTTAGATTTGTGAAAATTTACATATTTGCATTGTTTGAGTGTTGTCATTGTGTTTGAGAGTAAAAGTCATGAATAAATTTGACGTTAAACATAATCCAAGTTGAAGTGTTGCATCATTTTCAGCCCCTTTTTCAGCATCTGCATATGGTATTGGGCCAAACTGACAAAGATCATGCAGAATAATGTAGTATTTTAATTCCACAGCAGAGAAAGCTATGTAGTCTCTGTAAGTAGGTCTAGGGGAAAAAAAGGTATTGGTATCAGTTATCAGCCAAATAAGTTTTAACATATCGGCATATCGGCCAAAAATCCAATAACCGATGCCGATATTTTACATACGTTCCTTTGTCAGAACATATTCCTCTTATTTTGGCTTATTTGCTACAAAATTTGTGCAACAGCTGTAAGAGCTGGTGACATATATTCAGTAACAGCCATATGATATACATAGCACTTATGAAAAGTGTTAAATGTTATTTATTAGCATTAGTCACCTGCGATGCTGTCTCACTTGTGGAGGCTTGTTCCAGGTTCAGCTGCAGCGTGGGATCCTCTGCACTCCTGTGCATGAAGGACAGACTTTTTAACTTCAAAGTTTTTAACCATTGTTCCGTAAGACAGCATCCAAATGTCTGTGGTAAAACTCACCCAACAAGTCGTGCTATCGGCTATTAGCTTCTCAATGACGTTGGAAATGACGGCTGGTAACTCGGGTAACGTTACGTCAGAAAAACATCTCAGACTGGGGACGATGTAGCGAGGCTCAACGTGGTCCATAAATCTTCGGAAGCCGACATCCTCACCAACGAAAATTTTGAATTTTCCTCTCCGCACTGCTGCTGCAGGTAAAAACAGCGCCTTTTATACCGGCGAGTTATTTTAACGGAATGGTCGATGTCCGATATTGAACTTTAACGCCAATATCGGCCGATACCATGCCGATAATATCGTGCATCCCTACTCTAAACGCTCTAAAAAAAAAAAAAAAGCACAACGCTCTTGGCCACGCCCACTTCTCCACTGCAGAGCAGAGATATGACACAATGCAGGAGGAAGCTTGTCCTGCGGCGTGGGCTGCACACAGGTGCAGCAGACGCTAAATAATTTAAAATAATTTGTTTTAAATAAAATTCCACGCCGATCGTGCGGCTCATCCATCAATCAGCCGTTAGCTCGTCAATACAGTAAGATTGAATCTCTATTTCTCCAACTTAGATATCTGCTACAGGTAAGATAATAACATTTCATAACTCTGCCACAGAGCTCCTCTCAACAAGGATTAGATCAAACAGATCAGAGTTTTTTTCTCCTTCTGGCTTGACTTTTACTCGTAAAAATTATTTTAAGGATTGTGAGTTTATTTAAGTAAAAAAAAAAAAAAAAGAAGAATCTCTGACTAATTTCTGACACGGGTGAAGCACGTTTGAGTCACAGCAGAGCGTGCTGTGAATAAACGCTCTCAACAAGCTTCAGCACATATTTTGCTTCAAGCTGCCAGTGGTGGAAAAATGAAAACAACTTTTAACCTCTGCACTTGTCAGCGAGCGCACGCCTGCTTCACCCCTGCCGACGCTCCTCCGGAGCAATAAAAACAAGCTCCTGGTCATCACACATTTTCCAAACTTTGACTCCCACAGTGGGGCGTGCTGCTGGGGGTGGTGCACGCAACCAGCCACAGACAGAACAAACAATCGGTCTAAACCGTCTCCAGGACGCCTCGCGGTGAAACAACTCGAGGTGCGAGTTTGCAATTTGAGTTGGCATGAACGTATTGAAGTCCTGTAATGCAAAAACTATTTATTCTCACTTCTTTACGAACCTTTAGAGGACACGGGGGCTCTCGTGCACCATAAAACGTACTTTATTACAGAAAAGTCAGTGGCAGCAACCAAATCTGAGCACTCGTTTCATGAAAATAATGTTTTAAATTCCTCCTCTCTGAGTCATAAAGTCTCATGCTAGGCATAGAGGAATATTGTTTTAGCCCCAAATAAGAGGAATTCCATTAATTCATATCAGATACTTGTGGAGCCACAAACCACAGAAAACCCAAACGTTCATTTAAAAGTCCATCTGCTCCATAGCTGCTCTAGTTTGGAGAAATCTGTCAGTGAAACCATGCAATAAGGCTGAAACCCACTTCAGATCAAAGCGCCGAGCGTTTTTGAACGAGGATCAAATGGAGCGGCGAGAAGGCCGACAGCACCGACTCCGAGGAAGGATTAAAACAGCCATTAATTAAATATGTTCCTCCTCAAAACGCCGCTGCGTTCTGAAGCCAACGAGGCAAAACGCTAACGCCCGCCACGGTTTGTCACTCCGTTCATCAGCGATTCTCTTTGAGGATTATCGACGAAGGACGCCTTCGGGACGCTCTTGGAAGTGAACACGAGGCTCCGACAGAGCCCCGCTGTCAAAATTAACGGATTAATCTACGAGGGAGATGATGCGGAGGAAGACATGATCAAACGCGTAAATAACCAGACATTTTAATACCAATTCAACACATTTATTATCCTCCAAAAAGGCCAAACTCCTTCAAAAAAGGCACTTCGCTTCCCTTGACTTGTAACAATGCAGCTAAACAACAAACCTGGTGTCAGCCAAGGACTTTAAATTAAATATATTTACAATAAATAAAACATTTATACAAATTTATACAGTTACTTGTGCCATTCTTAGGAAGAAAATGCTCAAATATTTCCCAAGATCTGCCCATAACTAACAGAATATAGGTATGAACAGGAAGTGGAGGTAACACCGAACACTGTGCGGACAGTTTCTGCTGGTGACAGCTGTACCTGCGAGCCTGTCGGCAGCAGAGAACTTCACTTCGCTCATGCTGAAGTCTTTGAGCAGCTCCTGAGCACAGGGCGTGTGTGTTCCCTCTCACACATGCGCGGGGCTGTCTGCGTGCAGGTCCGTCTTGGCCATGTGCAGGACCACGGCAGGAGGTTTGTAGTGGCAGTGCGTACTGCTGCAGCTCACGCCGCTGCACGGCTTCCTCCCACTAGTCCTGTCCACCAGCTTCCTGCTGCACAGGCCCTGCCAGGTCTGCAGCGTTTTGGAGCTCCACACCCACACCCCACTGGTGATGCCCACCACCAGCGACATGAAGATCTTCAGCATGAACACGGCCACCGTGGGCACGGACGTCTGCAGCGAGCAGTCGCCGGCGGGGCCGCCGAACGAGCCGCACTTCAACTGCAGCCCCCTCAGCCTCCAGTAGTCCATGTTGAGCCGCTCGTAGAAGTAGCAGACGATGACGCAGGTGGCCGGCACCGTGTACAGGATGGAGTAGATGCCGATCTTCACCATGAGCTTCTCCAGCTTCTCCGTGTTGGTGCCTTCGGTCTTCATCACTTTGCGGATGTGGAAGAGGGCCACGAAGCCCGTGAGGATGAAGGACGTGCCCACGATCAGGTAGCAGGACAAGGGGATGAGGAGGAAGCCGGTCAGAGCGCCCGAGTCCATGCTGCCCACATAACACAGCCCCGTCAGCTCATCTCCTGCCACCTTCCTCATCGTGAGGATGATGATAGTCTTCAGGGCGGGGATGCCCCACGCAGCCATGTGGAAGTAGTTGCTGTGGGCTTCAATCGCCTCGTGACCCCACTTCTTCCCCGCGGCTAGGAACCAGGTGAGGGTCAGGATGACCCACCAGATCGAGGAGGCCATGCCAAAGTAGTAGAGGATGAGGAAGACTATGGTGCACCCAGTGGACTCCAGCCCCTCCTGGATGATGTACAGCTCGCCGTGCTCGCGGTCGCAGGCGATGTTCTCCGGCCCGGCCACCGAGCGGATGATGAAGGCCACGGAGTAGACGTTGTAGCACATGGAGAGGAAGATGATGGGGCGCTCCGGGTACTGGAAGCGGTGAGGCTCCAGGACGAAGGTCAGGACGGTGAACGCCGTGGACACGAAGCACAGGATGGACCACACAGTCACCCAGATGAAGGCGAAGTCCTTGTCCTGCCTGGACCAGTACACGTCCACGGCAGGGGAGCAGCGTGGGGCGCAGGACTGGCTCTTCTCCACATACTGGAACTTATCTGGGTTCTCACAGGAGCCCCGGGTGCCCGGCGAGCGGCCGTCGGTGGCGCCCGGCTGCCGGGGCCTCGGGGGCACCGGAAGCATGCCTTCACCCTTCTTCCCCTCCGGCCTGGTTTCGTTCTCGGGCGCCTCCATGCAGAGGGCGTTGGGGTCGTTCCTGGTGGGCAGCTTGGAGCAGTTCAGCGAGTCGGGCCAGGTGTAGCCGAAGGACTCCATGATGGGGGCACACCTCTCCCTGGCCTGCTCGCACATGGGTCTGCAGGCCGGGATGGAGGTGGACACTTTGTCTGTGCACATGGGGGCGTAGAGGGAGCAGAGGAAGAAGCGGAGGTGCACGTCGCAGCCATAGGACACGAGTGGAGCAAACTCCTGCAGCTTGATGGTGGCCTCCTGCTGGTCGTCGTGGTCCATGAAGTTGGGCATGCGGGTGAGGTTGTAGCCGATGCCCTGGCACATGGGGATGGTGATGGGCTCACACTTGGCCGGCCTGCCTCGGTCCAGATAGGAGCCGATCTCGAAGCTGGAGCCAGGAGTGAGCAGGAAACACCCCACGAACACCAGCACGCGCAGCGGGAACCCGTCCATCCTCGTTACTGTTGCGCCTCCAAAACAAGGCTGAGCGTTTGCAGAACGAGCATCGAAATGTGAAAACGGATTAAATCAAAAACGAAGTGTTCGGCTGTGTCCACATACCGACACGACCCGTCCACGAAGCAGCTCAGTGTCCGGACGGAGAAATCCTCAATTAAAGCCCATTAATCCCACGAGCCGCGGCTCCGCCACGAGCACGTGACGACGACAAACTTGAAGACGGAGCGACTGAAAGTCCAACACCTCCCAGGAGACAGGGGGCCTCCGGCCGGACACGAGGCTGGCGGGTCGGGGTTCAGCGGCTCCACAGAGCTCCGGAGTCCTCCGCGTTCAGAGTCCACACTGAAGTTTGAGAGACTCCAGCAGGGCACGAGGAGGAGGAGGAGGAGGAGGAGCAGGAGGTCCTCACGCTCACATTTCAAGCCCAACACCACCACACAAGGAAAATGATCAGACAGATGCACGAGGACGGTCAACCAGCTCCGGCTTGTCCTCCGATCAGAAGGTTAAAAACAGCTGGTTTCAAGGAGAAACAGCTGGATTTTATCCACAGGTTTATTCAGATGCCACAGCGACACATCTGATTTTGTATTATTTCCATAATCAGCTCCAAAAGCACCACGTGAATATATAGAAAAGTCCTGCACTCGTTGTTGAGAATTACCAGGGCCGCATTAAAGATGAAAGGGGCCCCGGGCCGCAATGTAGAGGTGCCCCCTCCTCGGTCAATAATTCTCCTGCAGCGTAAAATAAAATAACTTCTACAGCTGAAGTATTTACAAATGTATTAGTCTATGTTCTGTATTTTTTTTAGAGCCCACTTTACTCACGATACAGGAAGAATCAGCACCGAAGTAGACCTCAGAGTGGAACCCGGAAGTTAAAACCAGAACTTTTTCAATCCCAGCCCCGAAAAATCCATCCATCCATCCATCCATCCATCCATCCATCCATACATCCATCCATCCATACATACATACATACATACATACATAAAAACGTATTTAGTTACAAATAAAGTCCAGTAGTTTTGGTTTTAAACATTTTTTGAGTATTACAAGTGTCAGTTAAACAGTTTTTACTTGCTGTGTATATTTTTCTTTTGGAGGTTGGAGTCGTTTTAAATGGCTACAATTGGATTAGAAATAGACACGAGTTGGATTAGCCATTAGCTTGTTCTCCAGATTAGGATAAACCTGATGTGCTGCTGTAACAATACAACATACTTAGATTCATTCAACCTTTATTTCTACAGGTTAGTCCCATTGAGCCTCGGGGACTCATTTACAAGCGAGACCTGATTTTAACAAGTAAGAGTGATACCAACAGTGGACAATCTTAAAAGCATACAAATTGAGAAGAACAGGTGAAAGAAAATGGTATTAAAAAAACAAAACAAAAACAGATTGTAAGGCAGTGTAGAAAACTAAAAACAGGAACATGTCTGCGTTGGTTTAGCCAGGAACTTAACAGATGTTTGAAGCCACTTTTTAGAGAGGTCAAGGTTGAGAACTTCTGATCTTTTTGCAAGATCTTGATCTTTTTGATAACCTATAGTTCCACAAACCCACTTCAAACATTGTAAACATTCTGTGAAAAGAATCAGAGTGCAATGTTTACTGATGTCTAACAATCAGGGTACATGTTGCTGCAACTAACATCAGTTTTCAGCTTCTCACCTTCTCAGGAACATTTCAGAACAGAGGGGGACCCAACGGGACAGTAAGGCAGACACTGTGCGCCTGTGCCCCTTCTGAGCATGTGCTCATTTGTCTGTCAGCAAAATATTTCATGAACCACTGGATTGATTTAAATAAAACTCATTGGATAAACATCTAGATCTGATTAACTTTAGGAGTCAACCCAATTCAAGATGGCCACCACAGCTAATCCAACTTGGCAAACACAAAATGGCTAAATTTAGTCTGCTTTTTTCAACATTGAGCTTTTAGCTGAAAGTCACTCCCTACAGATTATTTAGGATTATTAATGTTGCCATTTAAAGCAGCGGGCAAAAACCATTCATTCAAAGAACCCGAGTTTCATAACCTGAATATTTTAAGAATACATTTTTAAAATGCTCAAGAATGGCCTCTGATTTTCCGACTAATTTTTTTTTAGCAGTAAGCTACGTTTTACTCGTGGTCAGGTTTTAGGATTAATAAACCTACAGATTGAATGTAGATGTAAATTTTGCTGTAATAAACTGTAAAGTATTTTTTTGCACATATGAACTCACAGCAGACGTATGTTAGGGTTGTTTCTTAATTTGTGCCATAACAAAAAGCTTCCAATGCAGAAAACTACCAAGCTGCTGTTTATAATAAAAGTGAAAGTATCATAAAGTGGAAAAACTTTCACAAAGTAGAAGTAAAACTGTGAATGTTATTATCTGTGCTACAGGTGGGCGGCAGTCTCAGGAGCAAGGCATCTAAAACCATTAAATCCATGTAATAAGCTCCACCAACTGCTGCAACGATGCTTATTACCCTTCAATAAATAATTATAAAAGACAGCGTGATCCCCTTTGGATCATTCATGTCTGGAGGAACGTGTCACCTCTGCTCCGAGTCAGAGTCAGGCTGGTTTGTTTTTCTCCTCTGTGGTTGAGTCTTCAGGTAAAACGATAGCTCTGACACTCCAAACTACTCCGCCACCATTTCTGCTAATGTTTTTAAGAAAGCCAACGTGAAACTTTGTTGAGTTCTGCAGGTCAACTAAAAACAGAGCTGTTCCTGCAGCTGGTGGAAACCTGACTGCCTCCATCGCTCGAGGGCGGAGGAGACGATGAAGTCTGCTCAGTCTGAAAAACTCCTCACGAGCAGGATGAGTTGATGAGAGGACACAACGGTGCACAGAACTTGGCATAACTTGCAACAAGTGATTGTGCAGAGCAGACTATTGTTTCCATCTAGTGGCTGAAGGGGAAGAGCCTGCAGCTTCCCAGCTGTCGCACGGAGCATTTGATCGTTTTTCAAACTGGGCTGGAACTCAAGGATTTTGGCCTCTCAGCCTCCAGGACTGAACTGCTTGTCAGCTGCATGCTGTCTCTATCAGTCACTGTGCTCAACGTCTGTCTGCTAAACAGGGTTTTGCACCTGCTTGGCCTGGGAATGGCCTATTTATCCTAAAGTTGAGACCGGGCGTCTGAAACTTTTAAGATCAAAAGAGACATTTTTTACCTTACACTTATGAAACAATATGTGTCTGTCAGTGATTATCAACTGGTGGCTCATGGGCCACTTAAAATTTGTATGAAGTTTTTTTTGTTTTTGTTTTTCCAGCAATTGGGGTGACTATAAAACAAAAATTATATAACGAGTTTTAACATTTAGTAATATTTTCACATTTTAGGGCTAAGGAAAAGACTGCATTCATGTAAACAAGGGGGAAAAAATTCATACCAATTTTACCAAAAACATTTTAAACCTGAACTCTGCAGGTTTTTGATTCTTCCTTTTAATTTTAGGGACGAAAAATTGTATCACAATTTAAAGTAATAAAGCATAAATTTAAATATTATCTTTATTTGTCTAAATATTAGGTAATTATATGTCAATGTGACATAATTTTTTTATTTCAAAACAACTTTTTAATTTACTTTAACTTTAATTAGATCCATCCATCCATCCATCCATCCATCCATCTATCTATCTATCTATCTATCTATCTATCTATCTATCTATCTATCTATCTATCTATCTATCTATCTATCTATCTATCTATCTATCTATCTATCTATCTATCTATCTATCTATCTATCTATCTATC